TAACATGTGAACTTAGTTACTTTTCTCATTGCTGAGACGAAACACTCAACACAGAAAGTTAAAGGAGAGAAGATTTACTGCAGCTCACAGTTTGTAAAGGTTTCAGCCCATAGTTTGCTGGTCCAGAGCAGGGTGGCATGCAGAGGGGCATCAGACAGGAGAAATACTATAGTCCCTAGCAAGCAGGCAGGAGACAGCAAAGCAGCAAGCAGCAGCAGCAACCTGCCTCTCTCTTTCATCCCTTCCAGGGTACCCACCTTTTGTGGTGCCACCCACACACAGGATGGGCCTTCCCATTATCCAACCCCACAAATATGCTAAACCAGTCAGTGGACTATGTTAGTACCTATCCAGCCTTAATCCTAGTACCACACCTTTACTACAGCATCACAGCCTTAATCCCTGCATCACACATTGTAGATCCAGCCACCTTTGAAGGCACCACTTATGACCACACGAGGCTTTGGAGGATTCTAGATGCAAGCCATAACAGTGTGATATAAGGGGCTGGGGATTTAGCTCAGCGGCACAGCGCCTGCCTGGCAAGTGCAAGTCATGAGTTTGATTCCCGGCACCAGAAAACAAACAAAAAAAATGTGATATACCCACAAACTGAAGTAGTCTGATTCTTTTCAGCTACACATGCAACCCTTATAAATTGTGGCTGTATCCATAAAGCAAGCCTCAGCAAATTAGTATACAGACCAAACTCTCTTTGACTGTAATTTTAAAAAATAAAACTTTACCAAATGCTCTCCATATACTTGGAAAGAGTGTTTTATATATTCTAATTCTTCGAAGGGTAGTCACACTAATATAACAACTGTGTTATTTAGAAGATCTCGATCCTTTCCATTATTTGGGGTAATTGAGTTTATTCTGCCCTGTCTTCATAACTTTTTAAATATTGTTTCATTGTTCTCTAAAAGTCTCTCCAAAAGCATCTTTTATGATAATGTCAAAAATGACTAAAATATTCACAAAACAATCCACCTGAGATTTTCTAAATCATATCCTATTTTATAATCATGCTCAATACTTCATAAAAATTAAACTAATTACAGCACTATGTAATGAAATAGTAAAAAACCAGTTTCCTGGAAGAATAAAGCATGAGTAATAAAAAAATCTCAAAGAGCTACTAATATTAGCCTAACAAAGAACAAAGGAGAAAACTAGGAATCTTTGAAAAGAAATTATTTTCAAATCCTAGAAAGATGGAGTAAAGTTACTATTTAACTATAGAACTATTTGAGTGGGCCTGTCAAATTTTGAGGGTTAAATACCTTAAAATAAAGTAAGGAGTCAGAATAGCAGAACAGGTTCTCAACAACTTTACTGCAAATAGAGGAAAAGTAGGATATAACCTGGCAATATATCTACAGGAAAATTGCTGAATATGTAATAAGCCCTATAATATATTACCCAGTTTGTTAAAGAATGAATTATGTCCATCTATAGTGACCTAGAAATATATTCATGATGTATGTTTGTGTGGAAAAAAACCAGTAGCAAAAAAAAAGGATACACTATAATCTCATTTTTATTAAAAGAGAAAGAACTCTTTGTGTGTTAATAAAGATTACTTTGAGATATATTCTGTGTGCAAGTCCATTTAATACCAGTATCAATGTCTAAAATAGAATTTCCAACAGTGAAAAATTAAACAAGAAGACAAACACAGGACATAATGACTAAAGTGGAAAAACATTAAAGCAGGGTTACATTTTCTAAAATCTCTGTAATACAAAATAAATAAAGCAAAGCCATAAAGACCTTCTCCCAAATAAGCAATGCCAGATGCAAAACAACAGAAAAACATATTTTAATTGTAGGAAGAATATATTACAATTGTAATATCATAGACTGTGGAAACAGCAAAGCAGTCAGCATGCTGCGCTAGGTAAGGTGTAAGATCTAATCAAGGAAAATCTCACTTCTTAGGCGCTCACACTTCTGACACCAAATGTGAGAGGTTTCCATACCAGGTGAGTCTCTGACTTCTCTGCAGACACCAAATGGATGTCCCTGCAATCTAGTTCCAGCACCACCCTAGATCAGTGCAGCCCCAAAGCTTGAGGGTACAGTCCCTCAAGACTGTACCCTCTTCAGTCTGGGCCTCCAACAGGCTGCCAGTCTGGGGTCCCTTGGCTCTCTTCTCTGGTTTGATTATTTGCTAGAATGGCTCACAGACCTTAGGAAGGCACTTGAGTTTACCAGTTTATTATAAATGATGTAACTCAGCAGCAATCACATGGAAGAAATGTACAGAACAAGGGAAGGGGATGGTCAGAGCCTCCAGCCCCTCCCTGGGTCCACTGCCCTCCAGCACTGTGGTATGTCCACCAACCCTAAATCCCTCCAGTCGGGGTTTTTTGGAGGCTTCATTGCCTACACATGATTCATTAACTCCTTGGCCAATGATGATTAATTCAACCTCCACTCCCAGCTCTCACCCCACAGTCAGGGAGGCTGGAGTCAGGCTGAAAGTACCGATGCTTACTCACTGATTGATTCCCCTGGCAACTCATCATTCTTGAAAGAACTCTGGACAAAGAAGCACACGTAATGAACAATGTTCCTGTCTCCCCACTACCCAAGAAGTTAAGAGTTTTAGAAGCTCTGTGCCAGGAAGGGAAGTGGGAGACCAAATGTATGTTCCTTATTATGGCTTACCAGTGTTCCTTTGTTTGGGGCAGTGTTCCTCCAGGTAGTCTGGCCTGCCTTTGAATGTGGGATCTTGTCTCAGCCTCCTGAATGCTGGGATTACAGGCGTGGCCCACCAAACATGGTTGGCTCACCAGTTTTTAGAAAATGAGAATGAAGTGAACAACAGTACAAGAAAAAATTGTTGACCTAGAAAACACTCAGAAACCTAAGCTATCCACTCTAAGGCCACTGCTAACAGATTATAAATATGAAAATTCATAGACAGTGATGTAATAAATACAGCACGGCCAACAAGTAAGTGGCTCTCATGCTACTTCTCTGCTGCTGCTCCCCAGCCCCTCCTCTCATTCCTTCATCAGCAATCTATCCTGGCAGTCTTTTCCTCCCAGCCAACAGAAGGCTTCAGAAGTTTCTCAGCCTAGCACTTTGGCAGCTTCTAACAGATTGTGGTAGCGATGTACAATGAAAACATCTTGTTTCTGTAGAGACAATTACATCACCCAAAAATAATGGAGAACCAAAAAAAAAAAACTTGCCATTTCTTCTTCACTGGAAGAGAACATGAGATAAGAATTCAGCCTATACATGAAAAGAAAAAAAATGGCAGCACACAGGTTCTCTTCAAGGGTTCCATCCAAGAGAAAGACATTTAGATAGATGCTCATTACATCCCTGCATTTCAGAAGTGAAGGATGCCCTGAAGCAACCAGGGAGAAGAGAAAGGTAATATTCAGGCTATCACTGATGACAGGTGCCTGAGATCATCCCACAGAGGTGCTGAAAAGGATGCGGAAGTCCACAGAACCTGCAGAAAGTCTCCAGTGGGCAACCTCATCTTTAGAGAATCATCCCAGGGGCATTTGAATTCTGTAAGCCGCTGTTACCTAAAATAAATGATGTAAGCACTAGGAGAACCACAGATGTAAAGTTTTATTTTTTTTTTTAATAACAGCTGTTAAAAAATGTAAAGGCAAGACATTTTAAACACACTTCAGAATGCCAGTTCTGTCAATTCTGAGTGAATTGTGGAGTGAGGGTTAGGTGAACTTAGAAGCAGGTAACATATTTTCCATTAAGGAATTCAGAGTTCTTCTGTGCTTTGTAATGGATTAAAATGCAAATTTAGATTAATAAATGATTAGACTGTTTTGTGTCAAAATTGCTTCAATTATACCATTACCCAATCCTTTTCTTCTTGGCTTTCTCAAACCCCTCAGTCCTGGGGTTTGAACCCAGGGCCTTGCACATGTTAGACAAGAGCTCTACAGCTGAGTTACATCCCCAGCCACAAGCCCAGTGGGTTTTTTTTTCCCCTTGCTTAGAATTTTTATTTTATATTTTTTGAAGATGCTCGTATAGGCTTATGGACACATATAAATGACCATCCCATGAAGAGCTATGGCTAGATTCACACATGTGGCAGTAATAACTCTCATGTCTTCCACCTGGCTGGAACCTCTGTAGGATGCCATCAATTTTAAGATGCAGCCTGAATGTAGTGGTGTTAGCATGTGAAGAATGTGTGCCTTAGTACTGATGAAATATGACACATCAAATGAATTACCTTCCAGGTAGGCTTAAAAAGAAAGTGCTTAAGACAGAGTAAATGACACATACTGTATACAAAGGTGCCTTGAATAAGGACCTGACTGACTCCTGAGGAGAAACAGAGCAGGCTGTCCAGCTGGGGCACAGAGGGGTCCCCAGAAAAGGTGGAATTGAAAAGAGGAGAAAAACTCCAGAATGATGGAAGGCAGTTCAAATGTGCCAGGCTAGGCAAAACATCCCACTTCTGTGATCCTGAAGGCTCGATACAGAGTCAAAAAGCTCTCCCACTATTGGTGCCACCAGTCCCACCATCAGATGAGCCCTGCACCCCTCCCCTGACAGGCACCCCACACAGTCAGCCTCTGTATCTTCGAGCTCCACATCTGCAGATACAACCAACTGTGGGTTAAAAATATTCAACAAAAATTGCATCTGTCCTGAACCCACACAGACTTTTTTGCTTGTCATTTACTCCCTAAATGATCCGGTGTAATAGCGTATAACATAGTATTGACATTGTACTGGTATGGTAAGTAATCTAGAGATGATTAAGGTGTACAGAAGGATGTGCATAGGTCATACGCAGATTTTATATAAGGTACTTGAGCATCCATGGTCTTGGGTCACTATAGGGAGATGGTGGATCTCACCCCACATGGGTATGAAGGGCCACTGGGTATATTTGGTAAGTGCATGCAATGAATGAGCAAACAGGTGCGTGAATTAGGGCTGTCTGGGGCCCAGAATAACAGCTGCTCTTTCTCTTCCCTTTGTCACCCCAGAGAAACTTGAGAGCGAGAAGCTAAATGTCGCTGAGGTCACCCAGTCAGAGATCGCTCAGAAGCAAAAGCTGCAGACCGTCCTGGAGAAAATCAATGAAACCCTGAAACTTCCTCCCCGGAGCATCAAGTGGAATGTGGACTGTGAGTTGCACAAAGGAGAAGGGCATCCTCTGTGGTACCGTGGTCCCTCCCCTGGGGCTTCTCCAAGCAGCCATCCCTCAGCTGGCAGACCCCGGATGCAAACTCATTGATCTTTGAGTGAGATGCACCCTTAGAAAAAGAGTTTGTCCAACAACCTCTTAGGGGAGGGAAAGCAAAAGGCCAAATCCAGTGTTCCTGTGTGTAAAAGGCTGTCTGTGGAAACTTCACACGAGGTTCAGAGAGAAAGGAAGCTATACTCACTGAGCTGCTTCTGAGACTCAGCACAGTTGTTAGAGAAAGCTGCTGTCTCCAGTATGTAAAGGCTTTGGGAAGCTGAGGTCCCTATAAAACCCACACCCTGCCTCTCCTCCTTCATTTCCTGAAAGGAGCAAAGATCGGCTGAGATCACAGGCACTGGAATAGGATTTTTCAATTCCTCTTGCACAGCTAGCACAGCTCGCGAATCTCAAAGTATAAGCCATTAATTCCTTACTGGCTTGAGGGCCTGGTGTCTAACACAGACTTAATGTATCCATATCAGAATCAACATTAAATCAGAGGGTCGGTGAATCTCATTTTCCAAAGGGAGTCCTCTGTTATAGATAAAAGTATGAATTTTCACAATACAAACGAAATGAGTAGAGTGAGTGTTTGCTTTAAGTTTTAGGAACTAGGTAATATATTTATCGCATGTCGTTTATACAACTTGTAATAGATTAACCCCCCCCAAAAAAAACACTTTCAAACTTGGGAAAGCAAAAGAAATTTTTGCCTCTAAACTTAGTGACCCACTAAGCTGCTAGTGGCAAAGTTTCCTTCAGATTTCTCACATCTGACATTGAAGTGCAGGCGACAAGTGCCTCTTTCAGCATGATTACACCTCTGCTGGCACAGCATTGGAGCAGGGTGTTCTCCGCCAAGCCCAATGAGGCACCTGAGGGCGGGAGGAGAGGAGGCTGTGGCTGGCCCCAGAGCTGTCTTGGAAAGGGGCTCCAGTTCCCTGAATCCTGGGAAAGCTAATAGCACTTGGGAGCACGGCGTCACTAGTTTGAACGATATGGCGCGTTTTGGAAATCCACAGTAGTCCTAAGTGTTAAAATGCCTCAAAGGAAGAGCCCTGCTTAGAGCTGATGACCCTGTTTCCCATCCCCTTGCATGTGGATCCTGTCTGTGTAGATAACACAGCAAAACAAACACCTTACCACGAGCCTCAATTTGGAAAGGCTGAACTAGAGAGATGGAACTTTTTAAACTCGCATCAAGAACACTGTCTTAACGCAGGTCTGAATATTATGTTTGGTTCATGGTTGCTGTAATCTCATATAGGAAAGGGTCTATCAGAAAGATAATTACTCTCATTAGCACTCCAATCTAGCTATTTTCGTTTTGTCACCTTGGTCACTTTAATGCATATTTTTACTTAGTGAAGTGACATACACCATTGCTTTTTGTCATTTTCTCTTAATATTTTATGATATATCTTCTCTGTCTTTGTCTTTGTAGTTAAAATTTTTTATGACTATTTCTATATCATGGGGTAGATATCCTGTAGTTCACTCAAACCCCAGATTGACGGTAATCATTTTAATAATGTTCTCCAACCTGCTGCTAACATCAGATAGCACCAAGCTGAATGCCTAGCTGTGCCTCTGCTTCTCGTGAATTATTCCCCGCAGATCTCTAGAACAGAGATGAATTGCCAGGTCAGAAGGAATAATTATCTCAACAGCCCTGTGATGCCGCAGGGGACGGGGAAAAGCTAGGCTTGTGCACGGGAGACAGAGGTTTGTCCCGCGAGGAATGTGCCAGAGCCCGCCTGGGGGGAAGCTCCATCCCTCTCTCCTCTCCTGCTTACCACCCAGGCTGTGTATCTGGGGACACTGTGTCACCTTTCTGCTTAAGACAAAGGCGGCAGGGATGAACTGCTAAGTTACCAAGGTCCTTGATTTAGGACTTTAGGGCTTTCTTTTTCTACTTACAACAGTAACTTTTATTGTTGAAAAATTTTTAATTTTTATTATTAAAAATGCAAATGTAAGACATCTAAAGATTAACAACTATCATATATTATATTGTTTACTGGCTGCCTGTGGTCTTCTAAACATATCTTTCTCCTTATAATCTTTTCTCAACCATCTGATGTAACAATTTTTATTATCTCCATTTTACAGACGGGAAAATCAAGGCATAGGGACAGTCGGTCATCATAAATGTCAGTTTTATGAGGCTGGAGGTTCTTTTGTTTCTTCACTGCTATATCTCTGGAAGTGGGAAGAGTGTCTGGCATATATGAAGCACAGTGGTATCTGCTAAAGATATGTCACCGTCCGGGGACACACAGATGATGAACAGCAGAGTCAGGAATCAGACCCTGAGACTCCCCGGCAGAGCCTGTGCGCTGAGCCTGCACATACAGCCCAAAGCTGCCCACCCGGGGACAGGCACTGTAGTGGTCCTTTAATTCGTATGTGCTGTGTATGTCAGAGATAACTAAGTCACATGTGCACAGCAGTCCCCCCTCTTCCAAGGGCAACAGGCTCCAAGATGCCCAGTGAATGCCTGAAACCACGGGTAGTACCAAATGTTACCTCTACTGTTTCTTTGCCCACACAGACCCCAACTTAATGCCTTTCCCATATTAAGTGAGACTTTATCACACATCCTGGCCACGACATTTGCAGTTTAAGTGCAGCAGCAAAAGTGGCACACATTTTCTTTTTCTCCATTTCATGAATAGAACATTCATTTTTATCATCAGTCTTAGCAATCGCAACATGATTTTTTTTTTTTCTTACTGAGAATGTTCACCTTTTGGCTTAGTGGACACACTTTGGTGGTTTGTTTGTTTGTTTGTTTGTTTGAACTCACTGTGTAGCTCAGGCTGGACTTTAACTCACTGTGATCCTCCTGCCTCAGGCTCCGGAGCACTAGGATTATAGGCATGTGCCACCATGCTTGGCTAAAGGAAGCACTTCACACCTTCTCGGTGGGGTATCTGAATTGCCAGCATCACTGTTCTTGCACTTTGGGCCCATCATTAAGTAAAATAATAGAAGCACCGTGATTCCGAGATCATGTCAGTCTCATAACTGAAGTGGCTATCAAGTGACAGACAGATGAGTAGCATACCCAGTGTGGATATGCAGGACAAAGGGGTGACTGATGTCTTGTGCCAGACAGAGGAGCTGTCATGGTTTGTGTCTAGATGTCCTCCTCACACACACACACACACAAAGCCTCATGTGGTCGTCATAGATGGGGCTTTTTCAGAGATGGCTAAATCTAGAGTGTGTGATGCTGGGATTGATTCACAGTGCAATGCTAGGATCAAGGGCACTAGGGTTAAGGGTGTGAGTGCTCCCTGCCCTGAGTATCCTGGTTAAGGTATAAGAGATAGGAAGAGGTGTGGTCATCCCTTGTTTTGCTATCTTCTGCCCACCATGAACTGTTTCTCCTCTGGGATCCCCCCTCTGCCATGCCACCCTGCTCTGGAGCCAACTGACTATGGACAGAAACCTCTACAAACTGTGAGGTAAATAAACCTCCCCTTCCTTAACTTTGGGTGCTGGGTGTTCTGTCTCAGCAACAAGGAGGAAGTAACAAAGACAGAAGCCCAACTCCAGAATTCATCACATTACCCAGAACGGCATGTAATGTAAAACTTACACATTGTTTATTCCTGAAATTTTCTGCTAATATTTTTGGACAACACCTGATCTTGGGAAACTGAAACCACAGAAAGGAAAACCTCAGATAAGGGGGACTACACACACACACACACAATTTTATAAAAATAGGATCAGCCTATATATGTTGTTTGGAAAACATATGCCTTCCTAAATCATTAAATATTTTATAGGTCACCTTTATTTCTCAGTACTGAAGATTGAACCTAAGACCTTTGCTCCAGACCTTTTTATTTTTCTTTTGAGACAAGGTCTTGCTAAGTCACTAAGTTACTAAGGCTTTGCTCAAACTTGTGATCTTACTGCCTCAGCCTCCGAGAGTGCTGGGATTATATGTGTGCACCACCACGTCCAGTTTATATGCATGTTAATATTCTATGATGTTGTATGGCTTATCATAATTTGTATAACTAATAAGATATGTAGATGAGTTCTTTCTACTGAGAGCTGTATTCTTTTAGGATGAATACCTAAGAGTTGTATTTTAGGGCCAAAGGTATATACATTTTTAAGGTCATAATACATATTGTCAAATTGCTTCCAGAATATTACACAAATGTACATTTCCACTGCAGTACATGTTTAGATAACTATTTCTAAGTCGACTGCTCTTTTTACAGCTGTTTTCCACCTCCAGAGTGACACTATCAGTACAGTGGCTGCAGTGTCCAATTTGCACGGTGAAGCCAGGCCCTTGCTGTTATGCTGGCCTCACACCTTGCCTGGCACTGGGGGTGTCTCCCTGGATTCCCATGAGAGGCGACAGTGATGAGGGTGCCTGAACACGGGACACATGTAACAGTTATTTTTAACTGAAAAGATGGCATACATAGCCTTAAAGAAAATTTTGAAATAGGATAACACACTTAAATGATCTTTCTAGACTACCATAACTATTTTCATTTTTAAAATATGCTTTCCCAAGCATTAGCCCAAAGTACTGGTTTGTGTGTGTACATGTGTATGTCTGTGTACACCCACACATATATGTATATTATTTCTGCATGCGTATCTCCATAAATGTATATTCTTACCTTGTTTCTATTCAGTTTCCCTTTAACATTACATTGGTAGCATCCGTACATTCTCCTAACAAAGACTTCCAGTGCATGTAACTATCCCTTTCTGTGGGTATCCCATAACTTTGGAAAGCAGTGATTATTAAACCATGCTTGCTGGACGTGGTGGCATATGTCTGTAATCCCAGTACTTTGGGAGGTTGAAGCAAGTTTAAGCCCAGCCTGGGCAATTTAAAAAAGAAAGAAAAAAAAAGAACAAACACAGAGGCTGAAACCTTGGGCTCAAAACAAACATAAAGTAAACCATGCTTGGTCCAACAGGGATTTGCAAGGAGAAAGACAGGTATCCCTCAAAAGGGGAGCAGCCAACGGCAGGCTGCAGTTAGGACTCCTGGACCTTCCATGTCATGTGCTTTTTTCCTGATTTCTACCTATCAGCTTGATTGAAAAAAGAATGTCTGAAAACCACTGATCTAAACCATTCTCTTGCAACTAAACTTAAGTGTTTCCTAGGGTTGTGTTTTCAATGATAATGTCTTAATACACTAGTTAACATCTTTGTCTACAGTGTGTGTGTGTGTGTGTGTGTGTGTGTGAGTGTGTGTGTGCGTGCGCAATTTGCTTATAGCCTCGAGGACAGGCCTAGGAATGGCATGACAGTTCTGACCAGAAGAATGAACTGGTTTTTGCCTCTGTCCCTCAACAACCCTGCCATGTTAGTGGGTCAGTCCCAGCCAGGAGCCTTTTGGGGTTTTTTGTTTTGTTTGTGCAGTACTGGGTGTTGGATCCAGGGCCTGGTGTGTGCTAGGCGCATAATCTACCATGGCACTACATCCCTGGCCCAGATCCTCTTTTTGAGGCTACTACTATAGGTCTCATTTGGTTGATGGTGCCCTGAACCAAAACTTCTAGAAGGCTGGGCACCTAGAGCTGTGATCCACTGTTTGATGGTAATGCTGAGCTCCTGTTCCTGGTCCACAGAAAGCCTTCTCTGAACCAGCAACGATAACAAACTCAAATGAATGCCGAAGGAATGTCTGAATCATTTCCTTTCTTAGTGGTTTCTCAAAGATCCAGCTCAAGCAGACTGACCCGTGCATCCCAGGGAAGGAAACTGATACCTAGTAACAGTGGGCTGTGAGTTCTATGTACTCAGAATGGGGGCTCTGGCTTCTTCCCTTGAATGTCCCATCGTGCGGAGTCGTGATGTTGGTAGGACCTCGAAGGTAGATCTTCCCTTCTGTAAAAAGGAAGGGCAGAGCGGCGGCATGTGTTAATCACCTAGGTACCAGGTATTTGCACGTAAATTTATATTTTTTAAATATATATTTTATATAAAAATATATAACATATGAAAATATATATAGTACTTTCATTACTTTTGGAAATCCTGACCACCTTACTACATCCTCATAGGTACCATCATCCCCTCGAGAGGCTCAACCTGGCCAGGGTCAGGTAGCCAGTGAATAAATGGAAGAGTGCTAAAGTCAGGTAGCTCATAAATAAATGGCAGAGTTGTGAAGTCAGAATTCAAGCTCCAGGATTCCTGATGCCATATGCACCTCATTAAGTCAGTGATTTTCTCATCTACCAAGAAAACCACAACCCAAGAGGACCCAGCCTTCCCTAGCAGAAATGGCGTAACATGCAGCACAGGGCTCAGCAGCTGTGGAGGCCAGTGGATCTTGAACATCCCCTCCCAAGGCACTCAAGGGAGCACCAGAGCCCTTCTGACGGATCTCAGGGACCTTTAATCCCCAAACAACGGAAGAGGCCCATGTTCCTGAGCTACTGTCCATTATTAAGGGTCTGCATTGTGAACAGTGTTGGGTAGGGGAAGTGGTGATAATCCAGAGTCTCCAGTCAAGTGGGAAGGGAGAGGGTGCAGAGCAGACCTGCTCATGGATACTTGAATGGAGTGGCCAGGGGATGGGGCTAGGGCAAGCTGGTCTGAGCTGAAAATTCAGGGATGTTAGGGTCCTGATTGGGACTTGGGGTTGAGGTAGAAGAGCTCCCTACTGGAAATCCAGCAATAATAGGACCCAGGAAGCACTCCATGAGATATGGCTAAGAGGTGAGGGGTCCCAGGAGTTGGTGCATGATGACCAAGGGTATCCCCTGAACTTTAGAGTAGAATAAAGGGGCACTGGGTATGGTATTGCTCCATTTTGAATATCTGCTTATATTGCCTAGAACCTAGCAGAAGATGCTCTAATTTTAAAATCCTCTTCCCTTTCAGCTGTTCATGCCAAGAGCCTGGTGGCCATCTTGCATCTGCTGGTCGCCCTGTCTCAGTATTTCCGGGCACCAATCCGACTCCCAGACCATGTTTCCATCCAAGTGGTTGTGGTCCAGGTAAGACAGACACCACTACTCACGTGTGCACCTTTAAGGTGTTGTGGATCCTGAGTTCCCATGATGGCTAAGACACTTAGGTTAGACGGAGGAATGGCTGCATGGATGCTGAGTGTGCTTAGACGTGCTGTGTGTGGTGAGGCATGTGCACGAGCTTTCTGATGAACGCTGGTTTATCCCTGACAAGTGTGCAATGGATGGAAAAGTGTGTGCCTGTACACCATATAGCTTTGTGTGAGGTTGTGCCTGGGGTTTATGTGCTTTTGTTGGGTGACTCTGCACTGTGTGCTGTATGTTTGTGAGGTGTGGCTAGTGAGGTTAGGAGGGAAGTTGTCTGTGTGTATGTGGGTGCATGTGCATTTGTATACAGGAGTGTGCAAGGCACTCTGTAAGCCACGGAGAGTCATAATTTGGAGGAATAACAAATGACGCACTGGTATCAGGGCAAGTAGCTATGTATCAGGTAAGGGAGCATGCAAGTGTGTGTGTGTGCATGTGTGCGTGTGCATGCATGTGAGAAAGAAAGGGAGAGCTTGCAACTGACCATGCCTGGACTGGAGGCACTGCTGCTGCTCGCCCGCCCAGCAAATCACAGCTGGGACTCAAGTCAATGGATCCAGATTGTTGGATGGAATTTCCATTCACATAGGGCTGTGTAATTTCCACAATGAGGGTGTCCTCCCTCCCCGTGACTATCTCACTCTGCTCCTAACCCCATTAAATACTCAAATGCAATTTTATTTTCCAGCCCATTTAGCAAAAGGTCATCATTTTGTTTGCTTGTTTCTGTGCTCTTCCAAATAAACATGCAACAAGGGAGAGCTCTCTGTACCAGCAGCTCCCTGCTCTCCAGGGCTGTCCAGAGTTCTGGAATAGAGGAGAAGATAGCAGCTCTGCCTTCCCTGGGTGAGGGAAAGCCCTGAGGGCTCATAAACTTTGCCTGATCTGGCCAGGCCACTTTCCAGGCCAAAAGCACTTGCAGCTGAGCTTTCAGGGATCAGATGTTAACAGGGCGGGAGGACACAACGTGCTCCCAACTCACTGATCAGCCGTGCCCTAGGGAAAAAGTATTTCTTCCACACCGTCTGGGGACTTAAATCTGCTAACCGCCGAGGTAACAGGATAGGCAGATGACACCTTGGCCCAGATTACAAGTAGGAAGCAGAGAGGGCAGTGAGCAGACAGCACAAAACTACAGGAAACAGAATTGAAGCGTGGATGGCTAGCGGGTTTGAACTGTCACGCTTACCGCGCCCTTCACCTGTACCAGATGCAGTGCTGTCCTTTCTGGCTGCTGTGGACGTACAGCCAACCCAGCGTCCTGGGACAGGAATCTTCTTAAAGAACCCAGGCCGTCTCCATTTCGTTAGTCTTACCAGCCAATGATACATGAATCCATGTAATAATGTTTTTTAAAACTATCCTCAAGGAGAGAAGGATGATAAGGTAAAACACTGGGGGCTTTTAAGGCAGTGAAATGATTATGTACAGTACTACAGTGGCAGATAGCTTTGTCCAAAGCCATGGACTGTGCCCCACCAAGAGTGAACCCTCACGTAAACCACAGGCTCTGAGTGACAGTAACATGTCAGTGCAAGTTCCTCGGTGAAAGAGGTACCGCTTCCTTCCAATTTACGGTGAACCAGGAACAGCTCTTAAAAAGTAGTTTGTTAATAAAAAAAAAAAAAAAAATAGATTCCTGGAGCAGCTCATGAAAGAATATTTTTCGTTATCACTAACATTGAAAAATGTTTTAAATTGTTTCCGTGAGTAAACACGCTGTCATTTTATTCAGGCCTATTTCCCTCCCGTTGTCCAGGGAGAGAAATGCTTTTATGCAAACTAACCTTTTATAGCATTTCTTTTCTGACAGTCCATTTTGATTCTTTGTTCATTAATTTATTGAACATCTTAGTATGTTTCTTACCAGCTTGAAAAATGGCTAATACGCATCCTAAAATATACCTCTTGGAATTCTACAGACAAAAATTTAAAAGTGGATTACAGATTTCAGCAGGAAGATGGGGGGCTATCTTGAAGCAAGCCCCCATCCTGTGCCTTATTTTGAGCTCAACTTCAGGCCACCAGAAGGCTGTTGTTGGCTGAATTTCTCCTGCAGGCAGTTTTGTTTGCATGAGGACACGGGGAACGAGGGTACGCTGTGTAAAGTGGCATCCGTGTGTGGTAGGTTTCCCAGGGTGTTTTGCTTTATCAGACAAACAGGCACAGAAGCAGGACCCAGAACTGGCCGGAAGTCACGAGGGAGCTGTAGAAGGAACTCCCTAGGGCACAAACAATGACCCGCTGAGTAAGGATGCTTAGTGCAGGGCCGCTGAACCCAAATTTCTTTTCCATTCCACATACAAGGGTTCAATTCTGCGTGAATGTACAGATGAGGCTTTATGTGTGTGAATGGCCTCATGAGACAAGGATTCCATTAACCCCATGTATAAAATTTGTAATGTTTTCAAACCAAGCGTGGACCAAGTCCTGATCTGTCTTTGCCTGGTCCCCTTTCATTTTCTCTCTCCCTCGGTTTCTCTTTTGCCTTGGTAATGCATTCCCCATCTATTCCAAGCAGTCTTGGCCTCGCCTTGCTCTGCCTTTCCTTCTGGACATGTTTTGCAAAGATGCTCGCATCTCTGGCTATTGGGGATGTGAGGGGCCATTGCTGGACATTTGGGCAGGAGGCTTCCAAGGGCTTCTCGGGGTTTCAGTGTTTCGGTTGAGCCACACTCAGAAGCCCTTTGTTCACACTCATCTCAGCCTTGGGAAGATGAGTTCACCCTCTCATCCATCTGGGTGCCCGGCCCAGACGGTCCTGTAAGTGTCTGGGTCTGGCTCTGTGGGGACCTGGTAGAGTGGCCCTCCTCTTTGGCACCCATCCGAAAGGCTTACAGGCCCTGACACTCCTTTGTTGATCCCCCCATGCATACACAAAGAGGTGGCCACCTTGATGGCCACCTTCCCTCCAGATGGCCTCATGCACACATTCAGGCTATCCCGACCCTGCCTTTTGGCCTAGTCACTTCCTAGCTTCCCTGAAAGATCTCACTCCATCCCTTTGGAAGGTCTCCCTTCTCCGCTAGTGCACCCCTGTCCTATGTCCAGCACATCCTCTTGGCAGAGAGTGACCACCTCATTTACTACCCACAACACTTCTGAGGGAGAGAGAGGGGGGTCCTATTAACCATTAAGCCAGGACATCCGGCACAAACCGGGATTGTTTAGGGGCAACCATTCTCCCAGGCTGACTTCATCTCTGCCATTTCACTGAGTTCCTCAGGGCTTGAAACCATGTCATATGCTCCCCAGTACTTGTTCCAGCTCAACACATGTATGTAGAAGGTGCTGCTTAATGAGATAAAGAAAGAAGCGTGAACGGCGGGGTGGCGGGGTGGGCAGGTGATGGAAGGATAGCTAGCTGGGCAGGTGAGGATTGTACTACTTACCTAAAAGCTCCCATATTTATCAGCTGAAAACCAAAGAAAAAGAAAAAAATAAAATCCCTCTACCTCTGTCTGAATTCTCCAAGCTGGCCTCAGTTCTTCCATCCAACCCCTCAGTTAAAAGTGTTTCTCAGCCTCCCTCTGCAGCCCCAGCTGGAGGGCAGGCACACCCTGGCCTTCCCTTCGGTTGACTGCGGATTACTCCAGGAGGCCAGCAGTTGCTGCCAGCACAGTGTCTTCCAATAAAGCAAGGAGAGACTCACCATCCAAGAAACAGCCTACTTCTTTGGACTAAACACTAACTGCACTTAAATCCTAATGGTACAATCCAGGCCCCCAAAACTCAAGGCTTCTTTTTGCTTCTAGCGTTATCTCATCACTGGGTAGGTTTCTTAACTACTCACCGGTAACTTTCTCCGTGTCGGGAATGCCAATCAATTTTTCTATATTTTTCTAAAACATTTTTTTCTCTTCTCCTCCCAACCCCTCTCCCCGCCCCCATTTCAGAAACGAGAAGGAATCCTCCAGTCTCGGCAAATCCAAGAGGAAATAACTGGTAACACAGAGTATGTCAACACTATTGTTGCCAGCGAGTCTGTAATGGAACACAGATGTTTCTCTGAAATTCATCCATTTGCTGATATTTAGTTTTCATTTATTGGGATTGCAGGAGGGATTAGACTGCAGCCAATGATTAGAGTTTAGCCTTTTCCATGCATTCAAAACATGCCTCTCAATGCTTAAGGTACAAACTTGGGTGGGGAAATGGGGAGAGGGGAATTAACGATGATTGAAAAATTCTAATTTTGTGGCACTCCAGGAGAAAGCATACCCAAAAAAGCCAACCAGCATGAAATCGTCACGCCATAAACATGGGCTGGAATTTAAATTGTTAACCTTGAAAAGGACGTTTTCTTCCTTTTCTGAATCTGATTTTGTTGGTCATCTGCCATGACCCAGAAAGCCCCTCTCTACCTTAGAGCTGTCCTTTTGGTTTTTGTTGGTTTGAGGTGTTTTCTTTTCCCATTACCTTTAGAAAGTAGAGTATCAGGACATACAAAAGGCTTACTGTGGAGAACCAGAATTTTGTTCTGAAGCAGAAAGAACAGATTGGTGTGTAGATTTGAGACTGTTGGGCAGGCCCTGAGCCCAGGCCACACACACAACCAGGCAAGGTTACTTTGCAGTCTTCCCAGTCCACCCAGCTTTCTTCTCTGTCCCTCTTGAAGAAGAGCGAGCACAGTGGAAAGAACAGGGACCTACCCGTTAGCTGGCCTGCCTTGAGTCAGTGAGCCTGTCAGCCTCGGTGTCCTTATCTGAGTGGAGAGCATTTCCTAGCCCAGAGAAAGGTGAGGATTCATTGCAGTGTCAGTTCTGTTCTCCTGTCCCTGTCTTTTATAGCTGCCCTTCCTGCTTTTCCCATCACAGCTGACCCATTCCTAGCCTTGCCTGTCATTACAAAGCTCCCTTCCACCTCCAGCCATGGGTGACAAGATTCTGGGGCTCTGTCTAGGCCATCGATGTGTCTTAAGAAGATTCTGGGAGTTGGGCATTTCAGGCCAAGCATAGGGGACAGCGATGTGAATGTTCCTTCCCAAGATCCTCCGTTTATGGCTATGGAGACCCTGTCAAATGGCCTGCTCAAAGGGCCAGTTTTAGTGGCTGGAGGGTCACACGATCCACAGGGCACACTGAATCTTGGTGTTGGTTAGGAGCAAAGCTGCCGAATCAGGCTTGCTGGGATGGGACAGAATTCCTCAGCGTCCTATCTCATCCCTCCCCACCTCATGCCATGCTTGTAGCTGTCCAATCTTTGATCTTCTGGACAACAGGAAGACAGCCCAGAGAGGAGCGTGGCTGGGGGAATCTCCTGAATCAAGAGGCATAAGGCTTCCAATTCCATAATCGTCTCTTGGCCACATATCATGCTTTCTGTGCTCCTCCTCTCTGCCATCTCTACCACAAGGACATAAAATGAGTGGCAACACAGCATGAGTTTTAAGTGCTTTTGCATCTATTGATACTCATTTTAAACCTGTGAAGCAATGCTTACACCCTCAAAGCCCCATAGCCCAGGGCTGAATAAGGATATGGTATCCTTGGTCTATCTAACCATTAACTCCAAGGTCGTGATTCTTCCCAGGGCTCTATGTGCTAGTTATCACGTAGCAGGCAATTGGTATACAGATGGCTACACCAATGCTTTAAGAATCTTGAGAACCAAAAAGATATTGATGGGGAAAAAACATGTTTTGACTATTTACTGCCAAATCCTTTCTAGGTCGTCAGTGCTCACAAGGTCTGACTGAGGTGTCTACCACTGTCACCCTAACTTTAGAGATAAAGTGACCTGTAGCCTAGGAAGGTTCAGTAGCTTGTCCAGGTCCAAGTCAGACGTACAACCAAAAAGTAAATTAATTAAATAAATAAAAGATTCAGTGGGGTTTAAAACTAAGTAACTAAGTGATCTGTTTCTGTGTTTATGCTCGTAAGATTTTACCCCTGCTCTGATACAAGTGTGGTTCCATTCCTGCCCCCTTGGAAGAAACCTATCCTGCATCACTGGCAGGTGCGGCTGGGGGACAGGATAGACAGAGACACAAAGCTGACCTCCCCGGGCAGTTGCTAATAGCAACCGGGGCAAGGAAGCTCCACACAGGTGGGGGTGCTTGATCTCTGCTCCAAAGAATCCTAATTCTCTGGTTTGGACTCCTCAGCCCATGTCCAATATGCAAGCAATAATGTGCTTTTATTTAATACAAAAAAATAATCTGGTAAGCATCACTATGCCAGACTTCGTTAATCCCAGTATATCTGTGTGGTGGAGGGAGACAGAGGTGGCAATATAGTGAAGTCTCAATAATTGGAGACAGCGCAGGCTGAAATGCCAACCAAAGGAGGCTTTTTGAGCTCCTTGAGCAAGGATGAGCTGGTGGCAGGCAGGGAGGAGCAGGCTCCTAGCCTGAATGGAAGGTCCTCTCGCAGGATAGTCATGCTGCTTTCTCTTTTTTTTTCCAGAGCTCTTTCCGGAAGGCATGGTGAGTTGCATGGTCTGTCACCTGGCCTTGCTGGGGCAGGTGCTGACTAATTCTGCAGCAGCTGGGGAGAGCAGGCGTTAAGCGTGCTGCCTGATGTTGGGACTGCACCAGCCTGGTGACATGGCTGGCTGGGGTGGTGGAGTGGCGGAGGGGGGGCAGGGGACGGGGACAGCTGACTGGTGGGAAGCAGCGGCTTCCTAAGTCTGCACTGTCCTGGTGCCTACAGGTCCATTTTGCCCTGTGCATGTTGTGGAAATACAGAAAGAGGTGCCTGAACACACTCAGGGACTGTCCCCTCTCTCTGCTCCCTATTCCCTCATCACCGCTCCTGCCTCTCCCCTTTCCTAGGACTTTGGACTCTCTAAGGTCCATGAATGTCAGAAGTCACCTTTCTAGCAGTCTCTGCTTTGCCCATTGCCATGTTTGTCTTGGCTTTCCTGTTTTTAAAAATTAGGGGGTAAAGCAGTTGGATATTCAGATAACCCTGCACCTCCAAAAAGCTTCAGAGACACTTTAGAACTATGACTATGTCGTGATACCCACAGTGAGGAGAAAGGAGTGATTCCAGGGAAGCTGCCTGACACCTGACAGGAACCCGTGCCCTCAGGCTGGACACCTCCCCGTCCCTGCATCCGGTCCCCTCCACTTTTCACCCCTTGATTCTGAGAACATGGCAGCTGTGCATGTTCTAAGCATCCTGGTAGGATACATGACCTGGCTGTTCTAGTAGCCTGATGTTCATTATAGGTAATACTTTGAAATATTTTAATCATGCTAAAACAGTGCACATCGGTAGAGCATGTTGGAGTGTATAGAGCCTGAGCATATGTCTCATGACAGACCTGGGGGAAATGTACTTTTCAGATGATACGTGACAGCAGAGGAAACTGAGGTACAATGGGTTGACATGACCCAGGTCCAGAGGAGAAAGCATTCATATTCTGTCCTGGGGCTCACCAAGTCCCTGTCCTCATATCTATGTCTTCTACTAGGGTGTTCGTCTTGGCTCTCCTGTTTTAGAAAATTAGGGGGTGACGTGAGTGGATATTCAAGTCACAGTCTACCTCCAAAGAGTGTCAGGAGCGCTTTAGAGATATGATTACATCATGATACAGTGGAACAGCCGCAGTGAAGACAAAGGACTTTTCCTGGGTCACACTCCTCAATAATGCTCCCTTCTCAGCCCAGTGAAGGGCAGACACTCAGAAAAACATCGCATGGGAAAGAACCCAGCTCAGCTTAGCCCAATCCCAGAGTCCAAAGTTCCCAGCACCCCCCTGCTCCCCAAAGCATTCCCCACAGTAGCTGTGCATGTGCTTTTAAAGGCTCATGGTCTGCAAGTGCTGGGTGTTCCCAACACTAGCCCTCCCCATGCGCTCCATGTTATGATGTTTGCTTCTTTCAGAACGTGATGCCTTTGACACCTTGTTTGACCACGCGCCAGACAAACTCAATGTGGTAAAAAAGGTAGAATGAGGCGGCTAGAGGGAGTGAGGGTGGTGGGGTGCAGCAGGACATTAGGACAACCTGTCCCTGCAAGCGTGGGGGTCCCCTATGTTCACACACCTGTCTACTCTCAGCAGCACCTCACCCAGTCCCCTTCCTTGCCCATCGATGCCCATCTCACCGTTCACCCGCCTGACTCCAGCCTTCCCTGACCCTCACACAGCACTGCCCTGACCCTGGTCATGGGCAGCTGCACCACCAAAGGAGGGGCTGGGAGGAGGGACCCAGCTGATCACTTATCTTCCTTGTCTACCTTTGGCCACCAACCCTGGGCTCAGACATCCTACCTGTCACCCTGCCTCTTGGAACTTCCCTGTCCCTCTCTCCCCTGTACCACGTGGGGCATGAAGCACAAAGCCCAAGCCTCCCCCACAAGCCCCAGGTCCTTGCATGGGCTGCTGGTCCTCACAAGCTCCCAGGGCAACCCCCTCCCTGGCGCTCACCTTAGTCTTATTCTAAGTGCCCTATGCTTCTTTCAGACGCTCATCACATTCGTGAACAAGCACCTGAATAAACTGAACCTAGAGGTCACAGAACTAGAAACCCAGGTGGGTGGCAGCGCACCAACCCCACGGGCCAGGAGAGTGTGCATGGCACTGACCCAGCTTTCTGTACTGAGGGGGCAGGCGTGGGGCTCTCTCCTGGAAGCTCACGGGGCTGAACTGGCTAGAATCACTCTAGAACTTCCCCAGCTGTTTGTATTGGGAAGTTACGGGGACGAACACCACATATTCTTCACCTGGGTACATGACTGTTCGCATTTGGCCACACAACCCTGCTTCATCCCTAAATATTTCACCTACATCTCTTAAGAATAAATATAATCTCTTAGCTAATCACAACATGATTATTAAGTGCTGGCAGCTGACATTGATGCAACCTGTTTATCTGTTAGACTGAATTATATGAATTTTCAATAGGCAGTGTCCTTGAATTTATGAGTCTCCTGCCTCTGCCTCCTGGAACGCTGAGATTACAGGCCTATGACACCACGCCTGACTGTGTGGCTGGTTTTGACCAACTGAAATGGCGCACCACGCGGTTGGCGAAAACACTCTCTTCCTGCTGTGCCAGCTGTGCCACCTGCCTTTAGTTGCCACATCTCAGCCTCTTTAGAACAGCTTGGCCTTTCTGGCAAAATGCTGGCATTTTGGAAGAGTGCTAGCCCGTTGGCTTATAGAACGTTCCTTGGCCTCTGTCCTCACAATGACATGTCAGTAACAGCCCTCCCCAGGTGACATGTGTTCCTCTCAGTGCCCCTCACGTGATGGCATTTGTCCCCGGTAGCCCCGTTACTGGGATGGCCTCATGAAGGTGATACCCACTCCATCTCCTGACTAGAACCTGCTACATCATCCCTTTTCTATCTATGTCTATATTTATGCTTAACAATTTGTGTGTGTGTGTGTGTGTGTGTGTGTGTGTGTGTGTGTGTATTGCTGGGATTGAATCCAGGGCTTTGCTCTACCACTGAGCTACATCCCCAACCCTAATAACGACTCCCTGACACAGTGTACCCTCACTCTCACGTCCTCTCGTTCTGGCTGAATTTCTGTTTTCTTCCAAGGCCGTGGGTGCCTCTCATCTTTTGTAAAGGTGACCGCAGGGTCTCTCTCTGAGTTGTCCCCATGTGTGTCTGGACTCTACAGTGAGCCTTCTACCCTCTCTTGGAAAATAAGGAACATTCTGGAAAGGGGTTTCCTGGGCAAGGCTCAGATGGGCTCTGAAGCTTCCCCTCGGTGTTCAAGGGGAGTCATTCCCTGGTACTCCAGTGTTTGTGGGTGTTGCCTGCTGTTCCCACCCCATGGGCAGAACTAGCTACTGCAGGTGGGGAGCAGTCTGGGGCTGGCCTTGGGCTCTCAGTCACCTGCCCCTGGCCCAAGGTCCCTTGTGGGCTCACAGATGGGACTCTTTTGTTCTAGCCTATTCTGGCCACAGCTAGTTGCCTGGCCCCCAGCAGGAGGGCACTGGTTTCGACACAGTCTGAGATCCGCTCTCCTGCGTCCACCCTGGGTGGTGTGAGATGAGTCATGCGCAGGTCCTACCCACCCAAGGGCTCCATGGAGGCAGGGAGGCACTGCCCCGGTCATGGCATTAGCCCCAGCACCCAGCCAGTCACCCCACAAAAGCTCAGCAAGCACACGCCCAGCCCCGTGTCTAGGTCCTTTAATCTTCCTGAGCTGAGAGCAGGGAGGCCAAGACATTCAGCCTCTGTGAACTCCAGCAACTATTGTTAGCAGACACAGTGGTGGCCCAGCCACCTCTGAAAAGTTCTAGAACTTCAGATGTGCACTGACCTCGGGCCACTCCAGGAGCCTCCACACCTGGAGCGCTGACTGTTTCCAAGTCACCCAGCCGTCCCCCCACGGCCTGCCCTCTAAGCCTCGCAACCTGCTCTGCTGTCCAGGAAGCGACTGGGCTGCAAGCCGTGTGCCACAGCTCTCACCCTGCCACAGTGCTGCCTGGCCTCGAAAGCTCAGAGGTCGAGTCCTGACTGGGTTGTTGTTTTCCCGGACCATCACAGCGAGAGTTAATATTTATTACGTGCTGCCTGGGTGCCTAGGCATTCACAAACACCTTGAGTGTGTTAACTGCTTTAGTCCTGTAATGCGGTAGAGACCCTACTGTGTTGTGCGCATGTTACAGATAAGAAAAAGGAGGAGCAGAGAAGTTACAAGTCTCTGAGCTAGCAAGGCGTGATTCTAGAACTGGAACCCCAGAGGCCCAGCTCCCAAGCCCCACCACGTTTGCCTCCCGAGCAGGGAGGAAATGAGACAGAGGAAAGGAGGATGCCTTATAGGACACCAGCACTCTCTCTTCTCAAACCGGAAGTCACCCTAGTCCCCTTGGGCCTTCACCTTGACCACCACCTTTCCTTCCTGTACCCCACCCTAGCTGACTCCACCCCTCCTTGTCCTTCCTGTGTGGACAGGGTTCCTTTCCTCCAGAAGCCTCCCTGATGCATTCAGCAGGCCTGGGCGACCTTTTTCATTTCAGACCCACGGCCACATCGCCTCCACCGCAGTTCCCCCGCCACCCCGGCTGTGCACTCCTTATGCTCAGGAGCCACGCTTGACCCAACTCTGTCCCCATGCCAGGATCATGAATCTACCCTGAGCTATCAGTGAGCCCAGGACCGTAGGCTTATGGCTCCTGTCAGCAGACCTCCCTGCCTCAAGGCAGATTGCGGGCCAGAGATGGCCTTTGGGGTGGTGACAGGGCAGCTGCCGAGCCCCGCACGGAGCTTGGCTGGGAGACTAAGGGTGGGTGCCCTCACCTGGCTGTCCCCTGCAGTTTGCAGACGGCGTGTACCTGGTGCTGCTCATGGGGCTCCTGGAGGGCTACTTTGTGCCCCTGCATAGCTTCTTCCTGACTCCAGACAGCTTTGAACAGAAGGTAGGTGGGGGCGGCAACATGGAGGGTAGCCCAGCCCACACTGTGACCCGGTGCCCTCCCCACCCTGAGCTGCCCAGGAAGCCACCTCTCTGCCAGATCTCCAGTGCTCAGAGGCAGGGCTCATTCCCCTGAACAGCCCCTCTCGCCCCCTCCCCTGAAACCGCCCTGGTCCCCTGACCCTGTGCTCCTGCTGAGTACCCAGCCTCATCTCCCCCCACAGACGTGACAGGGACAGTGGCCACAAGGCTGTTCAGACCCCAGGCCCACGCACAGCCTCATTCTCACGGCCTCCCATCAGCCACCCTGTCCCGCTCGCACGACAGGAGGCAGCTGGTCTGAAGCAGAGATCTGCCTCTTGAACATGTCTCACCATCTCAGGCTCCTCAGTGGTTCTCTGTTGTCCCCAAGCTTGAAGTCCCGGCCATTGACACGGGAGCATGGCAGGACAGGAAGAATGTTCCTCCGCTAACAGGCTGGGGTAGGGAAGCCTGCTCCAGTGAGGCCTGTCTATTTCTGTGTCCGTGTTCTCCTTCCTTAGCTCAGCCTCTCCCCTCGGGCTCCAGTGCTGGGCTCCTTCTCCTCCCAGGATTCTAGGGGAGGGTCTAGACCTGGGGGTCTAGGCTGAGTGTGCAACAAATGACAAATGCACGGCATCTCCCTTGCCAGGTCTTGAACGTCTCCTTTGCCTTTGAGCTCATGCAAGATGGAGGGCTGGAAAAGCCAAAGCCACGGCCAGAAGGTACGTTGCCCTTTCCTGGGCTGAGGACAACAGGGCAAGGCCTTCTTCCTGCATGCTAGCATTCAGGCTGCAGGGAGAGGCTACAGTTTTGTAGCAGAGGGGAAAGTCTCCTTCCTAGAGCTTTCTCTGTTGGGTGCCAGGGGAAGGGCAGCTGGGTGTAGCCACTCCATCCTGCAGACCCTTGGTGAGCTGCTACTCATGCGGCATGAGAGGGTGTGAAATCCCACACATGGGGCCAGGGCCAAGTTGAGGGGCTACTGCAGGAACTGTCCTGTGCCTGGTTGCCAGGTCCTTCTGTCCCTGTACTGGGCACTGCCAACTGCAGCTGGGTGCAGCCTGGCGGCACCAGGGGACTCTCAGACAACCCTGGACTCAGCCTCGAAGTCAGTTGGGCAACCTCACTGGCTCCACATCTCCCCAAGGATGAATCTTGATTTTCAGGGTTTGGGTTGCAGATGCTGTATCCTTACAATTCATGGAGGATCTGTTCCAAGAATCCTCAAGGATACCAAAATCCACAGATGTGCAAGTTCCTAGCAGAAAACAGCGCAGTGTTTGCATATAACCCGTGCACATCCTCCTGTACACTAAATCATCTCTAGGTGACTCCTGATACAATGTAAATGCTATGCAGATGGTTGTTACACTATCATTTAGGGTACAGTGACAAGAGAAAAGCCTTTAGGTAAGTGTTCATACAGATGTAATTTTGGCTTTTGAATATAATGAGCTGCACTTGGTTGAATCTATGCACTACAAAGGGCTGACTGGCTAAGACTGGGGGGAAATGCTCACCCTGGCTGTGTATGTGTGTGCCTTTGGGAGGAGGACCTGCGTCTCACTCAGTAATCTTCTTAATACAGACCTTTATTTTCGCTACCACTCACTGACTTCAATATTCTTTTCCCCAGTGCTGGTGAGTCAGGATTATGTCACAGATACTGTGTGTTTATGTCAAATTGGGGCACTGAGCAGGCTGGCCATGGGCCCATGAGCTTGCACTTTCCTGGTCATTTAAAAGCAAGGGGACAAGCAGAGATACACCGTGACACCCCCCTACTACCGCTGCTCTGAGCTCCTCCACCCTGACCTCCACGCAGAGGGGCTGGGCTCGGGTCTAGCAGGCTTGGGACCTGGCAGACTGTGATACACAAAGAGTGGTGAGCCCATGTCCAACCTCAGGGCTCTTCCAGCCAACCAGGGAGGAGAAAGGACGCGGCAGTCACCCACACTGAATGACTGTTGTAGCCACAGAGGGGAATGCTGTGAAGCTGTGAGGATGGAGGAGGTGGGACCACTTGTGCCTGAATACAGTGAGGAACAGTTCGGTGACAATGGTGACAGTTCGGCTGAAGCATGGGGATCAGGAAAAAGTTCAGTGTGTGGGCACGGGGATGGAGGAGTGCGCCTGAGTCCCACCTGGAGACTCATTGTCAGCGACAGCCAACAAAGGTCAGCCTCTTATTTGTGTTCATTCCCACCACACCTGAACCCCGGGCCACTTTTAGGGGAGGACCTCTAGCATGATTTATGGCACCCTGGCAAGGCCATTGTGACCATCCTAATGCTATTAGGAATGGACGCGTAGCTTCCTGTGGGCCGAGGATGAGCACCCTGCTTTGGGCAGGAGATCCAAAAGGTGAGTTCTATTCATCCCTTTGGCGGCTGTCATCTTCAGCTGCTTCGTGGGGAACTTCCTGATTGCAGACTGGAAATACTCTCTCTGATAGTTTGATGTTCAGGCATTGCTTTCCCTTAGGACAGGTGATTTCCCCAATGTCAGTCAGTCCACGAGACTATTTCAGCATTAGATGAGATTTCTTGTGCAGTAGACTGAATTGCTTCATATGAAACTTCCCGAGCAAAGTGAATGGAAAAACACATCTGCTTTGTTTGTTGTTACACTGGGCATGGTGCCCGTGCTGAAAATTTCCAGTGCGCAGAGGAGAATTGAAACTGGGAGACTTGAAATCAGATCTGGTGAAAAGTGAATCCCAGCATCCCTGTGTGTCTGGGCTTCCACCTAGACAGCAAAAGTCCCCAGTAAACACAGACCTCACACAGGGTGCCAACGTGGCTCATCCTCGGAGAGTGTCTCCAAATCAAATTAGCTGTGGTAGAAGTATTTTTGTGGCAAAATGCTTTTAAGATCAGGAAAATGCATTATTTGCTCTTTTCTTTGACCTTCAGAGATCTCTTAGACCTCAAAATCCCCTAGAAACTTTGAGTCTACATCTCAGATGACTTCTGCTGCCCCGGCTTCATGACCTTTTAGTATTCTACCTAACATAAGGGAAGAGTGACAGCGTCAAGGTCATAACCAATAGAGCAGCTGAAACACCAGCAGGAAGCTGCTAGCTTTTTATTCAGGTGGCACACGTCTTCAGATCCATGTGCCTCTCCCATTAGCACCACTCAAGTAGACTCCATCAGATGAAGCTAAGAGCTCATGATGGGCAGGTGGGACTCAGAAGAAATCTAAATACCAGCAAGGACTAAAGTCCACAGGATAACCAGCAGCCCAGTAGAATATCTAAAACATGAGGAGTGTAACAGCTGGGATTAGACTAGGGCAGGCGATGCTGTTGGGATCAGACTAGGGCAGGTGTTGGCAGCATAGATCCAGTGGTCAGTTCACCTGGGGACTTAGTCTGTGACTGATAATAGGAAACTGTCAACTCCTCTTCTGCATTGCCCTGGGAGGTAGAGTACGGAAGCCAGCACTGGCAAAAATGGCAAAGTTTGACATGACCAAGTGCTAGGAAAGATGTGGGGCAACAGTAACTGCTGGTGTGAATGTGAATTGATGTTCACTTCGGAACACTGACCTTACCTAATGCAGTTGAAGACTGCTAACACCCCATGTGGTAGACAAAATAGTATCCCCCTAAAATAAGTCTACGTGACAATTCTGGAATCTGATCACATGTTACCCTGCATGTCAGCAGGAACTTTACAGATTTTAAATTTATGATCTTGAAATAGGGATATTGTCCTAGATTATCCAGGTAGCTCCAGCATAATCACAGCTCCTTCTAAGTGCAAGAGGACGGCAGGAGAGTCAGAGTGATGTAGTGGATGTGGGCTCATCCGGCCAGGACTGACTGAAGCAGGGCGATAAGCCAAAGAATGCAGAGGGCCCTGAAGCTGGAAAAAGCAAGTTAAAAGGATTCTCCAGTAACGCCTCTGGAAAGAATGCAGCCATGCCTACACTTTGGATTTTAGCCCAGAGAGACCAAGTTTGGACTTTTGACCTCCGGAACTGTGAGACAGTGAATTTGCGTTGCGTTAGGCCACCAGGTTTGCAGTCGCTTGCTACAGCAGTAATAGGAAATCAGTACATGCCACATCATTCTCCTCACAGGTATGCTTGTTCATCTGTCTCAGTCACTTTCTCGTTGCTAGGATGAAATACTGGACACCTGCAACTTAGAGCAGGAGAGGTTTACTTTGGCTCCCATTTTAGAAATTTCAGGCTGTGTGCTGTTGGCTGGCTCCAGGATGGAGCAGCATGACAGAGGAAGAGCTGTTCATGAAAACAGGAAGCAGAGAGTCAAGGGAGGACCAGGAAGAGAGAGAAGCCCTTCCAGGTCATGCCCACAGTGACCCACCTCTTCCGACCAGCTCCCACCTCCCAACGGCAAATCAGCTGTATCCTCCTAAGATTCCATCACCTTCCAAACCCAGGAGGCTCTGGGGGCTATTTCAGATCTAACCTGCCAGGAGAAAACTCCAAGAATACCCACGATAGAACCCTTACACATTGTTGGCAGGAATATAAATTGTTGCAGCCATTATGGAAAACAGTACGGAGGTTCCTCAAAAAACTAAAAATAGAACTACCATGTGATCCCATAATCCCACTACTGGGTCTCCATCCGGAAGAAATGACAGTATGTCAGAGACACACCTGCCCTCCCACGTTCAGTGTAGCACTATTCACAGTGGCCAACAAGTGGAAACAAGGTAGTGTCCATCCACCAGTGACTGGATAAGTAAAATGTGGCACGCATATGCCAGGGGATGCTACTGCACCATTAAAGGGATGAAATCCTGTCATTGTGACAGTGTGGACGGGCTTGGAGGACATTATGCTAAGTGAAATAAGCCAGGCCCAGAAAGATAAATACTACTTGATCTCACCCATGTGTGGAATCTAAAATGTTGATCTTATGGAAATTGAGAACAGAATAGAGGTTCCCAGAAGCCGGGGAGGGGAGGAATTGGGGGAGGCTCGTCATCACTACAATAGAGTCAGACAGGAAGAATAAGTTTGCCCTTTTCCCCAGGAGGTGGATGTAGTTTACAATAATATATTGTATATTTCAAAATAGCTACAGCAGGATAGATACAATTAACAATATTTTATTAAATAAATCAAAATAGCTACAAGAGGATTTTGAATACTCTCACCACAAAGAAATGATAAATGTTTAAGGTGATGGATATGCTATTGCATATCCATCTGACTTGATCTGACTGACTTGATCATTAACACATATTAGTGAATGGAAATAGCACTTTGTACCTCATAAATATATATAATTATTATATTGATCAAAAATTCAAGTATGTTTAAAAAGAAAAGAATATCCATGATATCTAAAACTTGGGACAGTTCTCAGATGGACATGGGCATGGTGGTGTACACCTGTACATTCAGCATTGTGGGAGGCTGAGGCAGGACAATTGCAAGTTCAAGGCTAGCTGGGACAATTTAGTTCCTTAGCAAGAGCCTATCTCAAAATTTAAAAAAAAAAATTGAAGGGCTGGGTATGTAGCTCAGTGCAAAGGCCTTGGTTCAATCCCCAGTACCACATTTGGTGGCAGGGGAAATAAGGGAGGAAGGAAGGAAGGAAGGAAGGAAGGAAGGAAGGAAGGAAGGAATGAATGAGGGAGGGAGGGAGGAAAGAAGGAAGGAAGGGAGGAGGAAAAAGAAAAAAGAAAGAAAGAAAGAAAGAAAGAAAGAAAG